GAGGAGATGGGTACCACATGGAGCAGAGCCATCCACTGGCCAGGAATGCCACAAATTCCACTATTATACAACTGATAAACTTCTGCATGTTAATCCACTGAAGTGTTGGCTCTTTCCACAAGCAGGCATCACAAACCTAACACAATCCTCTAACTGTTCAGTCCTCCTGACTCTGATCTGTAGGTTCATGATTTCCATCTCCCAGGTCTCTTCCCCATTACTGCCCCTTCAATAGGGTTCCGGGCCTTCCCTGACTAGACCCTCCTTTTCTCAACAGCAGCATCATTTCGTTGAGACAGACTCACTTGTCTGCAGTTTCGAAGTCCCTCCCCTCCTTCTTTCCGTCACCGAGATCTCTTCCATCCTAACATCTCAGGCACCCTTGTTTCTTTGTAATTTCTTAAGAACAGTGGTTCTGAGTATAAACTTCCAGCTGTAAGATGAACAGGCCTGAGGATCTAATGTACAGCATGGTGATTACAGTTAATAACACTGTATCATACACTTGAAAGTTAAGAGTGGTACTTAAATGTCTTTACCACAAAAAAGAAATTGTAATTATATGACATGATATAATTTTGCAATAAATAAATGCATCAAATCGGCACATCGTACACCACAAATTTATACAATGCTGTCAATTATATCTCAGTAAAGCTGGGAAGAAAGAAAGGATCCCACAAATAAATAATTTTTTAGATGGCTCTGAGATCATACCTGTGGATTTTTTAAGAGTCTCATGCTCTACCGACTGAGCTAGCCAGGCGCGGCTTACCTGTGGATTTTTTAGTAACTTGTGCATTGTACCCTCTTTGGGGTGATACAGTTTAACTCATTTAAAGTGGCTGATACAGTCTCAATACCTTATCTTCATCTTCATTCCTAATGATTTGCTTACAAGGCCCCATGGGAGGACCACTTGGCTATTTTTAGTGCTTATTTTTAAATACTTATGCTAATATTATTAATTATTCATGGAAAATTTACATATATTATCATTGAATCCTCAAAACAAACCTATGAAACTGGTATCATTATCCCAGAGAGATTAAGACCCAAAAGCACCTCATCATATTGAGACTCAGGATTCAGATCCACCGATTTCAACTATATACCACCCCACTCATGTGCCAACTTCTCCAATTCTCCCCTAAATAATGAACTCACAACTCCCTTTCTGGAGCACAGCTTCAAAGTTCCTTCAGCGGCTCTCTGAGGTCTTTTTAGGAGGCACGGCTCATTCTGTGCTATTCCTCGACACCATTATAATTTCACACCTTCTGTTACGTGTCCCTCCTTCCTATTTTTAACATGTTTTAATCCGATCTAGTCAAAAAGCTTGTTAAATGTCTTCTTCTTTTCCCATATTGAAAAATCCTTTTTGGTGAGTGATGATACGGCTTTGATGCTTCAGAGGATTTCAGACATTAAGCAGCCTCCCTGAGCCCTGGTGAGAGGCACGTGGGCAGGGGAATGACAACGCACGGGCCATTCCGTCTCGTGAAACAGTAAAGAAAAGGGGGCATTTTTATCTGTTTAACACGTAGTCCACCGTATTTCAAAATTAAGGTTGGACAAAATGAAAGAAGCAAAAAATAAGATCACTGCTTCTAAGTTTGCAGCTCTGAAAAATCACTCTGCTACATCCAGGATGACAACCGGGGTGTCGGTCCCTGCCAGCGACTCTCACTGTGCCCCAGTGACAGGACTGCCCCCCAGACACCGCCAGAAGCTCCACACGTGAGCAAGTGGGTGAGACCAATGAAAAGTCACTCGGCAGCTCAAGTGTTGCTCATGTTGGTGGCCTCAGGAGAATCCAGCACTGACATCGTGCATGCATCAGGTTCTCAGTTATTACGTGTTGAGGGAAGAATGACAGGAAATGCATCGCTAGAGACGAGGCCCGAAGTCAGACAACAGGCGGGACACGCATTCAGAGGCTGAGGCTGTGGGCAGGGGGCAGAGGTGGGAGGCACTTATTCTGGAAACGGAACGTGAGCTCCACATCGGGAATCCACTGCCATTCATGCAGCCAGCACCCATTTACTGAGCAACTACTGTGCCAGGAACTGTGCGAGGGAGTCGCTAGTGAACGGGACGGCCCGGCCGGCGTGGCTCAGTGGTTGAAGGCCGCCCCATGAACCAGGAGGTCACGGTCAGATGCCCAGCCCGGGCACATGCCCGGGTCGTGGGCTCCATCCCCATCAGGGGGCGTGCAGGAGGCAGCCAATCAATGACTCTCTCTTATCACTGATGCTTCTATCCATCCCCCATACTCTCTAAATATCAATAAAAATTTTTTTTTTTAAGAAATGACTTACTTGAAGTCACTTGGATTTAGGTTCACTAATTACCTAGCAAAGGCTAATTAACACAGAGATTTATTTATTATGATATTTAGATTAAACCCTTAGGGGGAATTTTCCACTTTTTCTTCACACATCTTCATACCACTGTGAAGGCAGCAGCCCCTTTAAGGTATTTATATGTAACTTTCTGTTCATCTTGAGTTACATCACAGTTTAATAACTAAATTTTACAAATAACGTTGACTTGTGAAAACTTGAGAGTAGTCCGGAGGGCGTCTGAGTTACTGAACAACATGGGTTGGCAAACCATGGTCAGTGGGCTGGCATCCTAATTTTGCAAATAAAACCTCATTAAAATGAGGTCACGCCTATTCGCTGACGGGTTCTCCGTGGCCGCTTCCCTGCTGTACTGGTGGTATTGGTGGTGCCGAGACCACCTGCCCTGGGAACCTAAGACAGTTCCTATCTGGTCCTTTACGGGAAGCGATGGCCAACCCCTCCTGGGCAACACTATTTGGAATGGTGCTCAGACAAGTAAAAAACCTGTGGCTACCAAGTACACTTCAAAGCCCAAACTGCTCACAGAGTGATTTTCGGCTCTCTTGAGAGAACGCCGATTTAGGCAGGTTCATAATAAACCTAGTGAGAGATGGGCGTGTTGATTCTGACACACCGTACACCAGTGGAGACAAACATTTCTTTAAACGCCTCCTTGGCGGGCTTTGCACGCTGCGTGTCGTGGAAATCCATTACTCTGACAGCTCTGCTGAGAAAACTGAAGCTGGAATTAATACCCATTACCGAAAGGTCGGTGCACAGGGACAAGCCAGCAGCCAGTTTTAAATGTTAATAACGCTGATATTTTTCAAATGTAAACAAAAGGTCTATCTTTGTTTTATAATTCTTTCCCTGAATGACTCATTTAAAAATGAACACTGTGAAGCACAAAGCCTGAACTACATAATGCTGTTGCGTGCTGGTGATGTGTCAGTGAGACGTATTAGCACTTGTGAGTTGGTGGCAGGCCTACCGGGCGGCACACTCTGCGCTGAGGTCCTGGGTATATTATCTACCAATCTGCTGAGTCTAAGCACCATTGTCGCAGGTCCCATCACAAAGAGAAAGTGCTGCCAATTACACTGTCATGTGCTTTGTCGCTCGGAGCTCCATCTTACACTCAAGGCAGGCGCTCTCTTGAGACTTACTTTGATACGGTTTTATTGCCTTTATACATACCAAAAAGGGAAGATATAAGTAAAATAAATTGGTTTAGAGATAAATAAAGTAAGCATCTTTACTCAAAAACTAAGAAAAAAAATGATACAACAAACTCAACAAAAGCCCAAGTAATGAATTAAGAGATAAAAGCAGAAATTAACTTTTTTTTAAAGTAGGACTAGTAAGTAAATCCCAAACGGGTCTAAGAAACTTAAACAACCATTATCTTAACTACTCATTAAAACACAAAACTGCGAATACATAAGAAATGGGAACAGGGAAGTAATTTCTGAGACCAAGGTAATAACACAATTGTGAAAACCTATTTTGTCCAACTCTCTGCCAATAGATTTGAATATGTGTACGCAATGAAACTTTCTAGGAAAACTCAATTTACTGAAATTGACTCTCTAAGAGATGGAAAAATGTAAAATGATTTATTATCTTTGGAGAAAGAGAGAAAGGTGTTAAAGAGCTACCACTGCTAATGTGCCTCCATGAAACCACCAGCCAGAGGGAATTCTGCTGCCCTGTTGAGGAATACATTGTTTCAGTGACTCTTCAATTCTTCCAGAACCATAGAAAGAGGAAAATGTTCCTTTTTAGCAATTAAGTTTTAACACTAAAATCTAGCAAAGAATGCATTCTATCACAAGAAAACAAGAAACAAAACTACAGACCAATCACACTTACAAATGGCAATGGAAAATCCTAGGGGAAACCATTAGCAAAGAACCTAAGTATCACAATTAAAGGCTGATAGAGCATGATTAAGTGTGGCTACTGACTCAAGGACTCGGATGGTTTAACATAACGTCATCTATTAAATCCAGTCCATTACATAAATAGATCCAAGGAAAAATCATTTGATTACTTCCATAGAAGCCAAAAGTAATTATTTATTCTTGCTTTCAAAAGATAAAATTAAAATAGATGAATGAGTACTTCCTTAATCAGGAAAAAAAAAAAAGATTCTCTATCCATGGAGAGGCAGGGCTTATATGGGAAATCTCTGTACCTCCCCCTTGGCTTTGTTTCAAACCTAAAAATACTCTTAAAAAATAAAGTCTTAAAAATCGTTTTAAATTGTAACACTGCAGTTATGTACAAGATGCAAAGCAAAGTCACCCTCGACCCACTCCATCTTATTTTACAAGGTGCTTTTGACCATATGTCTTTATTTTGACTGGCAGCAATGAGCCTAAATACCATGCTTACCCTTGCATTTGGATTATCATTTTTAAGCAGAGCCTACTTACCTTGTGCCATGTAGGAAGTAAACTGATGCAGAGAAACTATCCCGATCTAACCACACTTCCCCTTTTTGCTGGTAATATTATTTATGGGTCCTTAAGCATCTATTTTGACTGATTGCCTTTAAACAGTACTTCTGGACTCCCTACTGTGTAAGACGAGGAAACTTACAAAGAGGAAAACACAACGGAGTCAAAGTGAACTCTAAGAAGCACTTGCCTTGTTCGTAAAGCAGCTTCATGTTCGAATCTTTGCAGGCAACCAGGTTGTGCAGCAACGCGATCACACTTTGCATGGTGTTTCCCAGAATGTTCTCCTGATGTGCCTGCAACAGGTGAGTGTCATAACTATACAGAAACACAATTACATCATAGAGACAAATGAACAAATGACCCCCAGCCCTTCATTCTTTGCCCAAGGTGCCACGATTGCCTGTGCACTTTACCGAAGCAGGTGCATCCCCCGTAGGAGGTGATGCCCCATCGGTGGGTTAAGAGGGCCGGGAGGAGGCCTGAACCATTCCGAGCACCAGTGCTGCTGCACACAGTCCCCTGCCCTGAACTGAAGGACAACCACACAGTCCTCTCTGCTTAGACGGGTGACAAAGGAGTCAGAGGGACCGGAAACCAAGTAAGGCCACACCTGAAAGTCATTTTGAGATCATAAAACTACTTAAATATTTCTGCAGTTTCAAGAGCAAAAGGGTACTGATGCTTTCCTACTTAAGTCTTGCACACAGATGCTTGTGTTGGATGTGACGTACTACCTCACTATTTCAGTCTAATAAACTACACAGGAGACCCAAAGGAGTGAGCTTTGCTTTCTTCCAACACTTAGCATCATTTAGCAGGGAGTAGCTGTGGTCCTAAAGAGACTGAAAAAAATAAATAAGCCTTCAGTCTCAATTTCTCATTTTAAAGATAAAAAAAAGAAATTTCTTTGTAATTTTTAAGAGATCTCAAAAATAACTTGCTTTAGTGTTGTTTCCATTTTCATTCCTCTGACTTTTTTTAAAAATTCAACATCTAACACAGATTATAATTAAAACGATATAATTTCAAAATAACATAAGAACAAAGAGAAAGTCTTTAAATTCTGGGATCAGGGTGAGGTAAGCCCGGAGCATAGCGGACCAAAAGAAAGGAGGGCCTAGCTCAGGTCTGTGCCAATGCAAGCACTCACTCTAGTCCTGGCCCTGGCCCTTGACCACTCCGTTAGCAACTAGTCCCATCCTAAAAAGTAACAGGTATATCCATTTAGTAGGCTCTGTCCGGGCCTTTTCCTATTCATTTTCTCACACTCACACACACACACACACACACAAGAGAGAGATGGTTTGCTCTATATTTCAACATGAGTTATATTTATTAATTCACTCAAATAATTAACAAATAGCTGTTATGAACCAGGCACTGTTCTAGGCACTTGAGGTATATTAGTGAGCAAAATAAGGTTCCCTGTGCTCTCAGAAACAGACAACAAACAACAGGCATAATAAATAAGTGAACTGTATAATGTGTTAAAAGGTAACCAGTGCCAAGGCAAAAAAAGAAAAGAGTTCAGCAGGAAAGATGGAGAATTCGCAGGGGAGCTACAGGTAACCATGTGTGTGGTCAGGGCAGGGCGGGACTCACTGAGAAGGTGTCATTTGAACAGCAATTTTATTTACTTTTTAAATGCTGAAGCACCTTAGAATTCTTTATTTTTAATAAAATTATTTGGATTTAATTTTATATTTACCCAAGTTGCAAAACTAGTATAGAGTTTTTCCTTATACTTTCACCCAGCTTTTCCTAATGTTAACATCTTTAAATATATTTTGCAAAACATCTTCTCAGGAATCATTACCTTGACCCAATTTTATTTTCATTTCCTGGCAAAGGACCTAAAACGTGCAAGTTTTCACCTATATAATAAAATAACTGGCAGCATTCTCTGTACCTCCGAGAATCTCCGAGCCTGCTCACCCCGCCCCACACTGCCTCCTCCCTCTCGCCGGTGGCCCGGACTCGCCAGGGCTTTGTCTTATTTCACTGTCTTTCAAGGAGCCGGCTTTCCATTTTAATGGTCATCTGTACTTTTGGCTTTGAGTTCCTCATTACAAACATATGCAAGTTTGCCGCTTCTCTCTCCTGGGAGGTCACCTCCCTGCCCACTTGTGATTAGGGATGACCAGGACGCTTGCTTTGGCCAATTAAAGGCCTTTGGGCAGAAGCTTTAAGGGGCAGAAGCTTTAAGGGCCAGCGAGAGCCCTGTCACCCTGTCCTTTCTGCTCCAGTGACCAGTCATGCTCCAGGCGGTAGAGGCTCCAGTAACCTAAGTCACAGAGTGAGGACATGCGGCAGAGCAGCCGGGAGTCCCTTGAGGGACACACGGGTTCCAAATCTGACAAAAATACCCACGCTGCACCTGGTTCTGAAGCTGTCCTGTCAACCGACGTGCACCCCCCTCTGATGACAGCCGTGAGAGCTCTGCAGTCCTATCATCTGCGTCTTTGCTGATACAAGATAAGGGGTTTGCCTTCCAAATACCGACGCCTAAGAGTTTCTAACAGTCTTTAGAAACAGGCGCTTAGAAGTGGGCGCTGGTGTTTGCCTGTCCCACGGACGCGCTTACGAAGATTAATGTGGAAGCGGCGGCCTGCCACCGGCTTCATCTAACTGTTCTTACAGTTGGTTGGAAGGAAGGGTGATTAATAAGCGCCAGCATGACACGACATGCTACTCATGATAAAGTAACTAACCATACATGGGAGACCTATTCTTGTGAAGAAAAGTTAATAAATCTTTTCTTTCTGTCCCATTCAGTTAAATAACTCGTATCCCTCCTTGTTCAAAGACCGGTCTGTAAGCAAATACAGAGAGATCCCCGGCTCCTTCGATAGCCTTTAACGATTGAAACCTTTTCTATGATGCTCTTGGCAATATCTTTGGCTCATTGTGAAGCCAACACTTCTGTTTTCTTTCGTGCTCACAGGGTGAGTGCCACTTACTGATACAGGCATTTCCTTCTATACAAAAGCCAACTTTCCAAACCTCCATCACCCCTGAACCCTGAGGACCCAGGATCATGCCCCAGCCCACTGGTTCTGAGAGCTCTGCAGAATGAAGGCCTCTGCCAGCCCCCTGCCGAGTCTGCAGAGGGGCACAGGGGGAAGGCGCACCCCGGTTATCAAAGCCTCCACTCCGCTGATTACTGGGAGCACTCAGGTCCGAATACTTGACGCAGAGAAAAAACGGAACCATTACCCTGTAACCAGGCGGGAGATGTGGTTCCTTTTCTACTGTAGCCTCTGACAGTCGCCAGGTGGGAGGGGAGGCAGGGGCTGGGTGGAAAAGGTGCAGGGATTAAGACATAAAAATTGCCAGCTATAAAAATAGTCATGGGGTGTAAAGCACAGCATAGGGAAGACAGTCAATAATACTGCGATAACTATACATGATGCCAGGTGGGTAAGAGACTTACCAGTGAGATTACTTTGTAAGGTATATAAATGTCTAGGAGCTTGTTGTGCACCTGAAAATTGCACTGGCACCTCATATTGTATGTCCACTGTCATTGAAAAGTAAATTTAAAAAAAATTTTAAAACACTTATATTTTAGTTTGCTTGTTGCTGGTTTTTAAACCGTTCATAGACTGTGAACTTTGTTCAGAGTAAAGTGGGGCTTATAAAAGTTATACATCTACTGACTCTTCCCTCTGTGCTTCTTACGCGGTGTGGGGGAGGGAGACCACGGACCAGTCACTGCTCCTGCTCTAGGTGACACGGGGTTCCCTAGGGGAACGGAGACAGCCCCTGCTGTGGCCTGGATCCTAGTTCCCCAGATGGAACGCGACACACGCGGGAAGAGCAGTGGAGGTGGTGTCAATACGGATCAAGTCCAGTGCTATTAACGTCTATCAAATCGAGTCACTTCATTTCTCTTCGCAAACGTGGTAAGCTTTGTTCTTGCTGTTTCACCTCCGCACTAGCCTAAGGGGTAAACTATGCTTTGAAAAACATCACCTCTACTTCTTAAAATCAGAGCAGAGGGTCCTATGAAGGGAGAAAGCGCGAGGGTGAATGTGTGGGGCAGGCGTTCTTCTTGGGCACGTGTGGAAAACTGACCTGGAGAGAGAGAAAAGGGAGACCACAGGCCAGAGCGGGAAGGAGGGTCCTCGTCAGATGCTCCTCTAGGACAGCCCCTCCCACTGAAGGTCTGCCCGAGTCCACAGTGAAACGGCCACCACTGACGGCTACGTGAAATCCTCACACCCTTCTTTTAACCCTCGTGGCTCAATAATAAGGCAAGAATTCCACGCCACTGGTGCCCAACACATGCAAGGGAAGCGGTGTAAGCAGCGAGGAAAGCAAGCGATGACCTTCCCCCGGGCGCTGGGGCGGGGGCAGGGGCCGGGCACCAGCTGCTTCGGTGCTGACCAGGGGCAGGCAGTGACGGAGCAGCCACGTGGGCCCAAGACAGGGCAAGACACGTGCTCCTAGGTGCCCCAGCCTGTACCCCAAGCGCCGACCTGTATCATCTCATTTAATGTCCATGCAAACAGTGAAGTGGCTGCAGTCTTCCCCTTTTACAGACGGGGACACTGAGGTTAGCGAGGGGACGTGTTGTTTGGGAAACCTCCCCCAGCTCTTCAGGGGTGAAGCCGGGATTCGGTGGGTGGGACGGCAGGAGCCAGCGCCCCCAGCCACCTCGAAGCTCTGCCTGGTGACCACAGGGACTCAGCAGGAAAGAAGGGCGGGCGGTCAAGAGTCCCCACACCCCGGTGGCACACCCCAGGTGAACCACCACCGCCTGAGGGCCCACACGGTTCCTGGGAGGAGTTTAAAGACACCCACAGCAGGGAGTGGAGAGGAGAGAAGAGCAGCGCTGTCGGGAGGCTGCTACGGTCATGCCCCCCTCCCTCCTTTCCTGCCACCGCGTGCCCTGCCCTGTGCCACCACCACTGGGACCTCCTGGCTTCACACGAGTCCTTGACACATAGGGGGGGCAAAAGTAGGTTTACAGCTGTGCGTATGCGAAACAGACTTTATTCTTGTATCACTATTAATTACTGTATTATTTTCCACAGGGAAAACTGAACCCACTGTTGCCCACTCCTGTGTACCTCGCTGCTGTAAGACACACAGCCCAGGAAGGGAGAGGGAAGCATTAGGCAACTGCAGGAGAGGGAAGAATGAGGGCATTGCCCCAAAGAATGAACAGACACCCTAGAGCCGCCACGAGAGGCCACATCACTCAGACACTGAGCGCCACACTGGCTGATGGGTGGGAAGGGAGGCCGAGCGCGTGGGAGAAGGCATCCCTGCATCCCACAAGGCCACA